ATGACTCTAATATTTATTTTGGAAGTCGCTATATTTTAGCTTGGTAATCATCTTTCAATAATTGCCCCAAAGGAATTTGATTTCTGGTTATTTGAAGTCGTTGTTGAAGTACAAACATTATTATCCCAAAGTCCCCTTCCCTCTCCATCATTTGGTCATGTAAAGATGACCATATACCATAGTACCAGTTTTTACATTCCTCTATGTTTCCATCACATGGTAGATATTCAGATAAACAAATAGAAGCTTCTTCAAGAACCACTATCCCATTTTGGTCTAAGATGTTTCCAAAATTAAAACATAAATATAAATACAGTGCTTTTTCCAGATCATTTTTTTTTAGAAGCTTCATTTTCTCTCAGAAACTTTTGAGTTCCTTGAAAGAATATGATAGATTACTATTTATTCATAGTTTATTTTTAGTGCATCCTATCCCATCTTGAGCAATGGGAAACATTTTCATCCGCTCATTGAATATATTTCTGTCCAAAGTAAAAACTGTTTTGGGTTCAATCTCTGTTTGATTCAAGTGCAGACTGTATTTTTCATCTATTCAGATTGTCCCCACATGTTCCTCAGTGCCTAACAAATCTTTCCACCCATATTTTTATTATCTTTTCTACAAACTCATGTTTTACTATTTTTTTATTTTTATTATATTATTATATTTACTATTATTTTCATCTTTCCTATTACCTATCCTTATCTTCTTACGACTATAACTTTGTTGCTTATATCTTACGTTGCTTTTATCTTGTTTTATTTAGTATCCTAGTAAGATTTATGTTGTTTGCTTAGTTAGTATCCTATGACTATCACTAAGTGTTGCATATTATGATTTATGATGAATAGGTTGTATCTTATGATTTATGATGAATGTATTTTTGTGTTTGATTATGATCATGATTTATCACTATTGCTTGTATGTACCGGAGACAAATTCCTTGTGTGTCCAACCACACTTGGCCAATAAAGAATTCTATTCTATTCTTCTACTTCTACTTCTACTTGTATTCTACCTCCAACCCATCCACATATCTTGGTTTTCAAATATCTCATGACTACATGAGCATTAAGATGGTTTGGGAACAGATATCCATCATAACCATTCACTCTAATTCTACATTATTTATAGGACTCTCTAATTTGTACATTTCAGCTACAACCTTTCTCTAATGTTAAAGTAATTTGATATTCTTTTCATATACCAATCGAAAAGAAGGCACATATAAAAATTTACAGAACCCGAGAGTAAGGAAAATCCAGGAAGAAAAAACTTCTCCAGTACAAGTTGCAACATAGGTTTCTCTAGAACAGATCCAAAGAATCCAAAGTAAAGCAGAAAACTGATAAACCATGAAAGGGAGATATAAAAAGCAAGGTAAAGATTAAATTTGAGGATGCCTCCCAATTCATCTAATTGACAAATGAATTACAGAGTCATAACACCCTCTTCTGGTCAAGAGGCAACAGAGCACATTGTTTGTGACAGCTCTGGTAGCACAGAAAAGAGATGACATTTTTAAGCTGACTTTAATTTATATATGCCCTTGAAGGTCCAGGTTTCTTTTTTCTTAAAAAAAAAGAAAAAAAGAAAGAAAGAAAGATAAGAAAATGCTGAGCCATTATATTTTTTTTTTAATTATAAGCAACCCAGAGTCATTGAATGAGATGGACCGCTATAGAAACTGAATAAAGAGAAAGAAGTCACATGGATTTTATTCTGCTAGTCATTGCCATCTATAGAAAGCAGCGCTCATTTCCTTTTCAAGGCCATTGAACTAGCGCTGGTACCTATTTATCTACTCTCATTTGCATGTTTTTGAACTGCTAGGTTGGCAGCTGGGTTGAGGACGAGAGCTTACCCTGTCGTCTGGGGCTCAGGGCTCGAACCTGGACTGCCGGCTTTCCAGCCAACAAGTTTAGTGTCTTAATCACTAAGCCACCGCTCAGTCAGTTTCAAAGGACCAAAACTAACTACAAAAAGTATCCAGGACGAAAACCCAAGACAGGATCTCCACATCATTTAGTTAGAATGAAAATCATACTGAAATTTAAAAAAAAAAGTTTTAACTCAATTCTAATTATAGTAATATGCCATACATACAGTATTTCTGGGAGAATTCTATTTTGTATCATGCAAAAAGCTTAAAAAATAATAGTCCTATCTGCAATAACAACTTGTTTTATATAGGCAGATTTCCCTAAGTATGTACTATGCATGTATGTATATATGTATGTATTTATTTTATGCAATTTATTTGCTGCCCATCTCGCCGCAATGCGAACCTAGGCAGTTTACCACGTTAAAGGTGATAAAATTGTTAATAATATAGAATACAAAAGTATAATTAAAATAAAATATAAAATAATTATAATTATTCATGCCATTCCAAATCCAAGTAAATGAGCTAGATTTTTTTTGTTCTTTGACACCCTTTTCAGCACTAAAATAGTAAACATTTTAAAACAAAAAAACAAAAACAAGCAAGGCTAATGCTTCGTAAACACCAGTCACACTTTTCTGAAATGAACATTGTTTAGTATAGGTCAACTTTCTTTAAAACTAACTACAAAGGGGCAAAACGAATCATGGGAAATTCCTAATTTTATGATTCACTAATTTTCCCTATTCTTCTTCCACTAAACACACTTTTTGAGAAAACGACATTGCAACTTGTCATGCCAAAACTCAGTCTTCATAATTATAGATAAGAGAAATCCCCAAGGAGGATATAAGAAGAAGTATGGTTTCATTGTTGTCAGAGTCCAAATCCGATACCTAGAAGTTGGAGGCTGTTATCTCAAAATGAAAAAAAAAAATGCTTCAAAATATTGAGGTCTTAAGAAAAGAATACCCAAATATTACAAGTTCTTTAGTGTTTGTATAAAAATATGCATTTTTCTAAGTCACATGAAATTTTTAATAAAACTGATTCAAAGTAGATCCCAGCATTTGCAAAGGAGAAACAGATCTGAGAAAGTAACCTCAATTGTAATTGCTTTGGGAACATGAAATATACTGTAATTCAATAGTCCTATCTTGAAAAAATGTATGGGTTTATTATTATATGTAATAAGCCACTTCTCAGATCATCAACCTTTGAAATAATGTATTTATTGTCAGAACTATAAAGTATGAAGATTTATTGTAACACTTTGAACAGATATACGTTTGAAATGCAAATTGTTAGATTAACAATTCAATAGAGATTTTCGACCCTTGAAACAGATCCCTGAAGATTGCTGGCATAATCTGGAACAAACTAGGTCTCATTCTACAACTTTGCCTTCATTTTTAAAGTACAATTTATTCTACACAGAAAGGTTAAAAGTCTACTGGCACTGTTGGGATAGCCAATTCTGAGTCCTCTAGTGAAGAAATTATATTTTGGGGATCCAAAATACAAACCAATCAATAGTAACACAGTTTAGCTGACAGGAAATGTTCCATTTTTTGTTAAAAAAAATCTATTCTTGCTTATAAACTATTCATACAGAACAGTCACTGCCCATACAAAAGCTTTTTTCTGCTACCAACTTAATCTCAATCATTTCTCAACAAGTAATCTCAATCATTTCTCAACAAGCACATCATGTCAAATAATTAAATGAAAGTCTCATTCAGACTGAATTCAACTGTTGGATACTTCATACTCATGTCCATGTAGTTTTCTAAACAAAATTATAGAAGTAGCTTACCACTGCATTCTTTTGGGATGTTTGTTAGATCTCCAAATTGGACCAACAACCTTGGAATTCCCAGAGGGTCCTCTATCTAAGTTCTAGCCAAGACTGACCCTACTTAATTTCCAAGATAATCCAAAATCTATTAGATACAGATATGAAAAAGTAAGTGCTATGGACAGTATATTGATCTCTATGAAGGATGCTTCCTTCTTGGGAAAGCCAGATTTTTAAGTTACAGTACCAATAACTTAAATTGTTTTTATATTATTTAAAACTATATGTTTCTAAGATTGTCAGTCATCTTGCATAATTTACGTTCAGAAAGGTAGAACCTAAGTCAAAAGAAAACCAAACATCTGAAAGTGACATTTGTCTGTTATAAAGACTATTCTTATCTCCTGTTAGGCAATTATATTCACCTTCATAAGATGACTGACTGTAGGGGGAATAGCTTCCATGAATAAAAGAAAGGAGGCAGGCAATTATTTGCAAAACTCTGTCCTCCAGTCATACCTACTTCATATCAAATGCCACTATGTTCCAACCATATTGCTCTGATCTGGATGAGTGGAGAGGAATATGAAGAAGAAAATGAGATTTCCGTTCACAGAATGCAAGATTGGACAGACTTGTTAGATACAATTCCATTAATTCTTCTTAACTTAGCTTTCAAGGATGCCGCAATGTTTTAATATAAAACAAATAGCTCACCAGAATATCACTAGCTAATAGTTATCACAATATTGCCAGATATATAAATCCTGCAGCCTTTCTCAGGAAAAGGGAGAATTTGAAGTTTTGAGAGTTGATGAATGATATTCATAATTTTCAACTTTCAATAACATTATTATTACAAATTAAATTTACATCACATCTTTCCTCTATGGAATCTCTTAGCTATGTTACTCGTCCACCTATTCTGATAGTACAAATTGTAATATTTTAATACAGAAAACTAAACCTAGGACAGGGCTCATAATAAACATTTCATCATGTTTTACTATATCATACTACAATTTTACTCTACTCTGCAATTCTCTTTTCCTTCCCTTTATCTAGAAATAGTTTCCTACCTGTAACAGCATTGAATTGCAACCAGTCAATTTGATATGTGACAGTGTTTTGTGTGTCCATATTTACATCTCCATATGGATAAAATACTGCATATATTACCTGCATATACTATTTCTCACACATAATCTGATACTGCATAAAAATTTAGATAAATATATATAGCTGAGTATTAGTCCATGATTTCGGGTTGAATCACGCATGAGTCTCACTCTAAAATTTGCAAAATTATTCAGTACCTTGCAGAAATAAAGTTCTGTACCAGCTCATCTAATATCCGGTTATTTTTCAAATCAGGTCCTGTGGCTACCTGTAAAACAACAGAAATGTTCAAGATGGCATTTATTCAATTGGCTATAACTAGTCTCTTAAATTCTCTGTACATTAATTCCTACATATAAAGATATAAACAGGAGATCTTACATATATTTGTTGAAAATGCTTAAACTGAAAAAAATGAAAAATGTCTATAGAGTTTAATTTATAATTAAGGTTTTTTGCATACATTTATTTTTTTATGCAAGTGATAATCATTTTCCTTGAAGTTTTAGTTGCCTTGTATAAAGCCAAACCTCTATTGTTCTTTAAAAAAAAATCACAATACCTGATATTGAAAATATAAAGATAGAAACAAAGTTACTTGCTCCAGACATGTACACAAAGCAATTTTCAAAACAAGCAGGGGAAGTGAAGAGAGATTGAGAGCAGAATATAGAGACTTCCAACTTCCCAGAAGAGTTTACAGCCAAATTCATCCATTTAGACATAGAGCTTGAAAAGAAGACATATCTTTCCAGGGCTTATTAAAACCTTTCATACAGACTATTGTTTTAAGTGCTGCATTAAAACCTAGCAATTTAGAAGCAATAACTAATCCAAAATAGTTGAATGCAACAAGAGTTTTTTTTTCATTTAGTCTTTTTTAGGAATATAGTTTTCATTCTACACATATAATAGATCTATTCTTTTCTTCTGAATCATTATGTCATATCTGTTATATGGTTCCTAAACATGAAACTGTATTCTAGAGAACATAAATGTTTATTAACAAATTTGATTTTACAAAACATTGAAACAATCATTACAGAGAAACCCTAAGTATTCATAGGCCACAAAAATAAACAAAATACCTACTTTCCTTAACATGGGAAGCCTCTATATCTTTGGATTCCCAAATTCCAGGAATGGTTATGCTGCTCAGAGAAATTTGGAAACTGAAGTCCACATATCTAGAGAAACAATCTAGATACAGGTTGAGAAAGGGTGATTCGGAGCTAAAGCTAATTATTTGAAATTTAGACAGGAAGCCACATAAGCAGATTGGAAATTGGAAAATGACTCCCGAACTGCCTACTCCCAATGCCTTGGTAAGGCCACACTTGGAATACTGCATCCAGTTTTGGTCACCACAATGTAAAAAAGATGTTGAGACTCTAGAAAGAGTACAGAGAAGAGCAACAAAGATGATTAGGGGACTGGAGGCTAAAATATATAAGGAACAGCTGCTGGAATTGGGTATGTCTAGTTTAATGAAGAGAAGGACGAGGGGTGACATGATAGCAGTGTTCCAATATCTCAGAGGTTGCACAAAGAAGAGGGAGTCAAGCTATTTTCCAAGGCACCTGAAGGCAGGACAAGAAGCAACAGATGGAAATTAATCAAGGAGAGAAGCAACCTAGAACTAAGGAGAAACTTCCTGACAGTTAGAACAATTAACCAATGGAACAACCTGCCTCCAGAAGCGGTGAATGTTCCAACACTGGAAGTTTTTAAGAAGAGACTGGACAGCCATTTGTTTGAAATGGTACAGGATTTTCTGGCTGAGCAGGGGGTTGGACTAGATGACTTCCAAGGACCCTTCCAACTTTATTATGACGGATCATCGCACAGTCAGCCAGATGTTCAGACGGGATTTAGCATTTTGTCTACCTATCGAGTCCTTATCCAGGACCTGGGATAGGCAGATGTGGATGTTTGATGGTATTACAGATATCGTCGCAGGATGGAAACAGTTCCTAGTAAGGCCGCCTTTTGCAATTGACTAATAGCAAATTTTGTCAATGCCAGTAGTGTTCAAGTGGTGCTCCAGTTGTTTTGGGATTGCACTCAAGGCACCTATTACTATTGGTACTACTCTTGCTTGCTTTTGCCACAGTCTTTCTATTTCTATTTGTAGGTCTTTGTATTTTGTTATCTTCTCCAGTTCTTTCTCTTCTATTCTGCTGTCTCCAGGCACTGCCATGTCCACTGTCCAGACTTTTTTGTCTTTCTTATTGACAATTGTTAAGTCCGGGGTGTTATGTTGCAGGTGCATGTCTGTTTGAATTCTGAAGTCCCAGAGCAGTTTTATTTTATCATTTTCTATGACTTTCTCTATTTTATGATCCCACCAGTTTTTGCTTATAGGCAAATGATATTTTTTGCAGATCTTTCACTGCACCATTGTTGCTACTTTGTCATGCCGTTTCTTGTAGTCAGTCTGTGCAATCTTCTTGCAACAGCTTACCATGTGGTCCACTGTTTCTTCAGCTTCTTTGCATAGGCGGCACTAACTATCTGTTGCTGTCTTCTCAATTTTGACTTTACATGCATTTGTCCTTAAGGCTTGGTCTTGTGCAGCCAGAATTAGTCCCTCGTTCTCTTTCTTCAATTTTCCTCCTCCTCCTCCTCCTCCTCCTCCTCCTCCTCCTCCTCCTCCTCCTCCTCCTCCTCCTCCTCCTCCTCTTCTTCTTCTTCTTCTTCTTCTTCTCCTTCTTCTTCTTATTATTATTATTATTATTATTATTATTATTATTAGGAAGGAAAGGCTCCATAATTCCTCTGAAGCTGATTAAACCAATATCATTTTCTAATATCTGTAAAATAGAATATGCCTCACATCAAATTTCAAACATTGCATGCAGGACATAGAACCCAAGTCTCAGTAATGTAATCGTATATCACTCTACAACTACAAATAAGTTGACAACAAGCTCTGTTGAACAATTAACAGTTTGCCAAATGTTCAGACTCAATTGGGCATTTTTATCCACCTATCAAGTCATTCTCAAGGACCTGGGGCAGGCAGATGTCATTGTTTAATAATATATAAGATTTTTCCAAGTAAAGCTGTCTTTTGCAACTGACTGATGGTGATTTTGTCAATGTCGATGGTGTTCAAGGGGTGTTCCAGATGTTCTGAGATTACACCAAAGGCACCAAGTCAGTCAATTCTATTTGCAGGTCTTTGTATTTTTTTTTGGGGGGGGGGTCATTTGGTCTTCTTGTGCTTCAGCTTTTCTTTCACTTGTTCTAGCATGCTTGCATCTGAAGTTAGTATGCTGATCGTATTCTCCAACCCAATCTTCCATTTTTTGTGGTATACTGTTGGCTATTTTTTTCTTGTTTGTTGATTTTGCATTCAAGATCTTCAGTTATAACTGCAGCTGTGCAGTTGGTTAGTTTCTTAAGGTAAGCTTGGGCTTATATTTTGACATTACAGTGTTGGTATATTTTAATACTTGTGCCAGCTGTTTCTTTGGAACAAGCCTTAATGCAGGCCACCTTACTCTGTTGCTTTTGTGCTGTTCTAGATGCTCAATCCCTCTAATTTTTTTAGTTAGAGGGCTTCATTCTTTCTGAGAAAATAGAGGAAAAGATGTCTGGTTGGAGAAAGAAAATGCTATGCTAGCTTCCTCTACTGCCGACCACCTGCCCCCAGTTATTTCTGGCAAGGCTTTGATTTCTTTGCTCCGAGTAGACTTTGCAATTCTTCCAGTTCTACTTCAGCAAATATTTTATATTATAAATCAGCTTTGACCAGCTAGACCCTGTTCTGTTATTTCTGATTCTGGATGATGTCCTTTCCAGAATTGGTGCATTTTTAAAAATCTCTTCTTCTCTTTATTTGTAATAAAGGTAAAGTGTCCGACTCTAGGGCATGGTGCTACTCTCCATTTCTTGGCTTATTCAACATGCAGCCTGAGTTTGAAATAGTGTATGCTATTATGTTAATTTTAAAGTGAACACTATATGTAGTGGTATTCAACAATCCTATGTCTCACCAATTTACCTCTGATAATATCCCATTGAAATTAAATTTAAAGAGATGTATGGGATTGTGTTTTCCAAAATACCTTTAGCTCACAAATTTGATGAGAACTATATTTTTAAAACTTAAGTTATAAACCAAATCAATAATATTAAGTTTTGTAAATTTCAGAATCCACTCTTGTGGAAAATATCATGCCTAAATATTATCTGTGATTGGTTTTGGTAAAGCATGATGAAATGCCAATACAATAAATGCATAGGCTGAATAAAGACTGAGAATGTTCTCAGTCTTAATATTGAAACACTGATACTAGATATTAAACAAGTTGCATTACCTTATATTTCTCTATATAATTTACAATTTCCTGGTAATTATACAGCTATTCCTATTCATACCTTGCAATCTAACAAATACTGTGTCAACATTAAATACTCCTGAATGAAAATTATTTTCTGCACCCATTTCAAACAGACTTGTCATTTGGCTTGGCACTAGAACTGCTTCACTCATCCTGTGATATGTCCTTCCCTCCAAGAAAAAAATGGGAAATACACACAATATTGGTTCTCTTGGACTTCACAGCAGCTTTCATTACCATCAACCATGTTTACCTTCTGGAGAGATTGTGCAAGTTATATTGATTAAGACTATATTATTATGACCTTTCTTCATACCAAAAGTTTCTTGAAAGCACTGTTTTCCATGTCATTTTAACATTTACATGAAACCACTAAATCAGGTCAGTCTGATTTTCATCAGTATGCAATTAGCAGTCTAACTCCCTCTTTTTTTCCCCAAACCCAGCAAAGCAGTAAACATGTTTCAAAACATAATTTGTTTACTGTAATAATCCTGGTAAGGGTTAGCAGATCCGCATAAAGAAATTGCTTTTAAATATGTCATTTAACCAACTGGTACACAGTCTTTTTGAGTTTTTTTTCCTTCAAGGGGTGTTTATTGATAATTGATCTATATAAGTAACTCCAAAACTTCAATTTATATAAACTATGGCTGCAAAAATATTAAGTAACAGGCTAGGTGTTAGGTGCATTTTCCCAGTTTTATTATTGTTATTTCCTTTTATTACAAATATACAATATAGATTTTAATTTCCAAAACTCCTTTTGGACACTTCAGTTCCTGATATCTGAACCATCAATTCTTCATATACTTACCTACTGCATGCATTTAGATCAGGGATTCCCAACTGGGCCATGCAAACGGCAGGCAAGCGCATGAAGCTTCATTTGTGCATGTGCGGGACTAGGTTGTGTGCGCAAAAACATCCCATCCACCCACCCCCCTACCCATCACCCCTGCCAGTCCATGGAGCCAGAAAGGTTGGGGACCGCTGGTTTAGATTACTAGCTAGTGGTAATGACACTGAGAGATGGAGATTTGTAATTGTTTGATGCCACAGTTTAGTTTACTGGTTACATTTGTTTTCTTATTGCAATATTATTTCAAAATGCCTCTATTTTTACTTTATACAGGTAGTCCTTGACTTATGAACCAGAACTGAGCCCTCAATTTCGATAATAATCAAGACAATCTGACAAAAATGTCATAAATTATGATCAGGGTGGATAATAATTGAGATTTTTTTTAAAAAAATTAAAAAATCAGATTTTTTTTAATTTAAATCAGATTTTTTTATTTTTATCAAATTTACTTTGATAAAATGCTTTTGGAGTAAAAATCTATCTAAAGATAGTTTTCTATTTAAGATACATTAATAATTTAGTTTATTCAGCATGAAATGGAGCTTAGTTATGTAGCATGAGGCTGTATATTCTGCAATTTTTACATTTTTGGTAAATTCAATGAATCCAAGCTCTGCAAGCTGAGATAACATGCACTCCATTGATGCATTCACACAATTTCATAATAACCATGAAATAAATCATAAAACGAAAAGTTCAGGAATATTCCTTTATCCCATTGTTTTGCAAATCTATATACAGTACAAACTGTCCGATTGTTCGAAGAGCAATGCATCTGAACCAGGCTCTAAGTCAGTGGTTCTCAACCTGTGGGTCGGGACCCCATTTGGGGTCAAATGACCATTTCACGGGGTCGCCAAACCACGCTGTCCACCATTTTTTTCCCTTTTCCCTAGCTCTCCTACTCCCTCTTATTGGTGGCCACACCCACTTGGGGGTCACCACAACATGGGGAACTGTATTATGGGGTCACGGCATTAGAAAGGTTGAGAACCACTGCTCTAAGCGTTTTGATTAAATAAAAAAATTTGAGTAGTTCTCCAACTATGTGTGATTAACCTATTAATCTAAAATCGGTTCTGATATCGCTGTTTTACTAACCTGACAGCTTATTATTCTAAATAGGAAACTTCATTCTGTTTGCAAATAATATTAATGATTCTAACTACCAGCAAAAATGAGTCCTTACATTTAAAGAGCACCTGTCATTTCAGTTCTATCATGGCAGTGCCTGTTAGCAGGCATCCACTCACCTGCTGCCCGCCACGTTCCTCACCTTGTTGTGTCACTGCTGCATCGCCAGCTGTCCCATTTTCTTCCAACATACCTTCTGCACATACTTCTGCACTGTATCCTCAGAGGACTAATCCAGCACATATGGCAGTAAGATATAGAATTAAAAACATTTTTAACATGTTAAAGAAAGGTACACCTACCATACAGCATATAGGACACTGAGGTTTGTAGGACAGCGACTTGCGAATACAGAGAGAACAATCTGTAGGAAACAAATATACACACAAAAACATAAGCAAAACAGAGCAATCCAACAACAGTACAAATTATGAAATTGGATTTTCCATAGGCAAAATGTGATTTATACCTTTCAAAATGTCTTTCATTTCATTAGTACAGCTTTTTAAAATCTTTCCTCTGTATCCAAATGAGTGAGTAAATATTTCTCACAATGATTATACTCACAAAGTATAGTAGAGGACATTACATACAGCAGACCAGCAAATGAAATGAATATCTTATTTATTTCAGATATTTCTTTGCTGCTTCAATCACTATTACTCTACACAGCTTGCAAAAGTGATAAAAATTCAGCTTAGCGTAATAAGTATAAAAACAATCTTAATCATGAATCATTAATAGCAATAGCACTTAGGCTTATATACTGCTCCATAATGCTTTACAGCACTTTCTGGGTAGTTTACAAATGTCAACATATTGTCCCCAACAATCTGGGTCCTCATTTTACTAACCTCAGAAAGAAAGAAGCTAAGTCAACCTTGAGCTGGTCAGGATCGAACTCCAGACTATGGGTAGAATTTGCCTGCAATACTGCATTTTATACTGGGTTATTATATATACTGGTTTTTTTCCCTTATGTCCTCCAGCTCCATTTAATTACTTTCTCACCCACACCATTATCCCTTCATTCCTGGTCCATTCTATCTGCTTCATGGTACCCCAGTTCCTTTCATTTCTCCACTGTTCTTTTGCCTCTAGAGATGGCATCCAGCCCAGGCTTCACCACCTCCTTTAACATGCAACTTAATCCTCCTCCAGTCTGAAACTCAGTCCTCCTGGTAACTACTCAATCAGGGTCAGCAACTAACACAAATTCACTATTCTTGGCAACTTAGGTCATCTCACTTTCTCAAAAACCAGACTCCATTTGTTATCCTCCAAAAACCCCTTTGCCTATGATTTTTCCAACTCTGGAATTTTTTGTCTGTCATCCTTTCAGTCAACAGTCACTCTGTCTAGCTCCAACAGCAACCAGATCATTGCAATCTCACTTATTTTTTTTCTGTGGCCCCATTTTTCTTTCATTACAAACTGTTGTTGCTGCTGCTATTAATACTAGTCAGCACACTTACTATCATTCTTTATAAAATCCAACTTTCTGCTGCCATCTAGAAGTTTTGATTTTTGCAGTCCAGATCTCAAGGACTAGCCTTATGCAACAAGTTAACCATATAATTTTTGAGTTTTCAGACCAACACACCTAGAATGGCTGAGGGAAATCCTAATCTTTTAAAAACTGAATATCCCTAGTGAAAATACCAAAGCATAGTTTTCTGTATGAAACAAAAAACAAATTAAATTACCATGAAGAAAGTCCATGTCTCTAAAATTAGCCGTTTTAAAAAAAATCAAATAACAGGCCATGTGTTAAAAAATGTAGTAGTACCATATTAATCATCATTTATAATTATCAACCAAGCAGCATAGAAATATACTTAATTTGTCAAGAGAAATATTATTTTGGCCAGTATTAATTTTGTAAAATTATAGGTCACAATTCAGCACATAACAGCTTTCAAATCAGGTAGTATGCTTGTTGCCTTTGAAAATCCATTAATTTCACTGTTTTTCTCTAAGTAGATATAATTGCTGTAAATGCAAAGCACATAGAACAAAGAATTTGAATTATATTCCTCACTAGCATAAACTTTCTACAGTATTTAAGCTCTGTTCAGAAGTCTTTCCGTGCAACTGATCACACATAATCACTCTCTACATCAGGGATGTGTCAAACTCAATTTCACTGAGGACCGCATCAGCATTGTGGTTGTCCTCAGGGGGCTGGGTGGGTGTGGCCTACTGGGTGGGCGTGGATGGAGTGGGTGTTGCCTACTGGGTGGGTGTGGCCAGCTCTACATCGTTCGTGTCAAGGGTACCTGTGAGGGCTGGGCAGGAGTGGGATAGATCTGAGGGTCTCTGGCAGTAGGGGTGGGACCAGGGCAAGTGCCAAGGCATGGTCCACTGGAGGAGCCTCACTGTTCCTCTCAGGCCTTGGGGGGGGGGCTTATGGAGCTAAGACTGAATACGTTTCAGCATAGATGGCCAACACAAAATTGTACATTGGCTCCCAGCTGGCCTGAGCCAGGGCCAAGGCAGAGGGGGCTGTTCCCTCACTGTTTCCAGGATGGCTTCGTGGGCCACATGAAACCACTTCGTGGGCCGCATCCGGCTCCCAGGCCTTGTGTTTGACATGTCTGCTCTACATCATCAACAATGAGTTGTTCTATCAATATTTTCATCCAAGGCATAGCGGAATGCTCCAGTAGGACTTGGATTTCAAATGCGTCAATTATTTTTGTAATCAATTCTTCTATTTTAAATCATCAAATAAGTATCTGCATCAAAAAATTATGAGTTACCTCTAATGTTTGTTACGTATTTTGAAGTTATTCTTCTACACTGTTACTTTTTTAGTCAGTTGCTAAATTTTGTGAGTTATATTATACTGAAATGCCATCAGGCACAAGGAATCAGGACCACCAGTTAGCTTGCAGCATAGATTTATTCAAGCCTAAACACAAGTATCTGGTCAATTAAAGTTCAACTCTAAATTAGTACCAGATAAGGATCAATGAAACTCAGGAGAGATTGGACTTAAGTGCTTGTGGGAATGCACAAATGTAAGTTGATGAAGCATTTATCTCTACCACCACCACCCTAGGTCTGCCTGCTCTTCTCTTACTAGTACATCTTCAAGCAGACTAGAAATTTAAACACAATCTCCATTATTCTTCTGGAAGTCCTGCTATGTTTCCTCATGATTTCTAGGAAGGATGAGCAACTAATGGTGGGGATACATGCTAGGAGTACAGATAGCCCTCCACTTACAACTGTCCCTTGGCGACCATCTGAAGTTACAACAGACCCCTTCCCAAAAAGGTAGTTAAGATATGGTTTTGAAGTTCCAATAATTATACCCCCGCAGTCATGTGACCACATTTTGGGCACTCAACTGACCCGCATTTATGGCGTTTGGTGCTTAGCCACCACTGCATTTTTTTTGCAATCCTGATGTTCGCTTAATGACTGCCACAAAAAAGATTGTAAAACTGGGTCTGGTCTCATGATGACCCCATTTTACAACTGTCATGATTTACAACCATAATGGGTATATTCCATTATGGTATAAGTTATTGTATACCCAATATATAGCTCCAGCAAGCAGGCACCTCTATTGGGGAGAAGTAATACAGATGCTGGAGGCATCTTAGTGACAATAGCAAAAGTATCAATTCATACTACACAGGAGAAGGCAATAGTAAACTCACCAAGCAAACCAAATGGATAGAAAATATAAAATGACTAATGATATACTGCTGGGTGATGGGCCCCTTAGGCCAGACAGCACTCAACATGCTACTCAGAAAGAGCTGTAGATCCCTCAGTACTAATGGTGTTTATAACATGGCTAGATTAAAGCCTTCGGGACATCTAGTTGCTGATATTGCCATGAAGGAAAAGAATATGTGAAGCTGCAAACAGCATCTCAGGAAGAAATTTAAGAATTTCAGACAGCTGCTAGAAGAGACAAGAGGCATTATTATGCAACATCCGCAAAGACATCAAAGACGAAAACAGACATGGAAAAACAAGGAAACTATTTCACAAGATCTCTGAACTCAGGGAGGTTTCAACCTTTAATTGCTATGCTAAAGGAGATGGATAGTTATTAATTGAAGCCAATGGACAGACAGCAACTGATTGAAAAATCAAAGAAAGTATACACTCACATTTTATATAGCAAAGATGCAAAAACATCCAAGATACTTTGAAAGATATTCCCTACTTACAAGACCCTGTAGTGCTAGAAGAGGAAGTTAGATCCTTTAGTCATTACCAAATTGAAGCCTATACAGTAGATAAAGTATCAATAGAAATATGTCAAACAACAGAAGAATAATCAGTAAAGGTTTTAACTGAACTGTAGCAGCAAATGTGGAGAACAACACAGTGGCCGATAGATTGGAAGAGGTCAATCTAGATACCTATACCAAAGAAAGGAAACCTAACTGTACAAGCTACAATGCAGCATCCTTTATTTAATATGTTAGCAAAATAGTATTTAGGATCATTCAACACAGAATGGATCTGTAGATGGAAACACAGAGAAAGGTGCCAGTCAGATGATTGACTTGGCTTTAGAAAGAGCTTATAACGCTATAAGACACAGGGTAAAACCAGTAGAAAACAAAAAATTTTCCAGTCTCCTTAACCACTCATAAAGTCCATCATTTATATTCAGAATTATTGACTGGCTGACTTTTCTTTGATATGACCCACCTCACCCTCTAACTCGCATTTACAACATGCTTTACTATATGAACTCTCTAAGGAATTAATCTTACACTTGAGTTGGGGAACCAAACATATACCAGTGGTGGCGAACCTATGGCATGCGTGCCAGAGGCGGCACTCGGAGCTCTCTGTGGGCACACGTGCCGTTGCCCCAGCCTCACCCCCCCACGATCTCCCCACCAGCAGCCCCCCTGGAGGAAAGTCACCCCCGAATGTGGCTCACATGGAGCAGCGCAGCCAAGGACATGGTAGCCAGGCAGCGTAGACAAGACTCTGTCCTCATGCCTCATCCCGTACAGTTGATGCTGTGGGGCACAGAGGGAGTGGCCGCCATGGCGCTGCTGGGCTGCCTGGGCGATCAGCAGCGGGCCGTGGAGGTGGTGAGTGGCCCTGCGGGCAGGTGGGGTGGGGGACACGGTGGGGGCAGAGTGGGGGTGGGGCAGGGATGGAACAGGGGTGGAGCCAGTTTTTGGGCACTCAATCTCTAAAAGGTTCGTCATCACTGACATATACTGTTGTTTATTTATCATCAACTATGGTAAACTTCTGAATTTCCATTGCCTGGAAGGATTGAATTTGGGGAATGTTTTACTGTGGTTCCATTTTCATACTGTTTCCATGCTATTCAACAACATTCCCAAGAAAATGCTAGGGGAAGGGGAGGACTCCCATCTGGTGAGCTGGAGTTACACAACGTCAAAATGCTGATACCAGTTCCAAGGAACTGGCATCAGTTCCAAGGAAAAAGTACACTGAGACAACCTGGGCATTGAACACTGGTTCCCTATAAGCTTCTGGGTGTAATTCAAGATGCATTATGCCTTTCTGTTCTTAACATTACTTAAAATGGCTATCAAAATTTAAGAATAAAGAAAGCTAAAAATACAGCTGAAAATAAACACTAAAATAATTCAACAGTTAAAAGCCTGGCATTAGATATGTCTTCACCATAGCAAATAATGAGAGACCAAATGCATAGTTATAAAAAAAAAAGCAGGAGGAAGGAAACCATTACTTTACTTACAATTATGTGAACACTGTGGAATTATCATTGCAGTGTTGAAGTAATCAAAGCATATCCCACAACGCAACAAGTTATCAACTTCCTGAAATACATTAAAAATCACAGTATTTACATACAGAGTAAGCTGGAAAATCATTTTGCAAAAGTACTTACTGGAAAAAATAATAAACTGAATATAATTCCTATTCTTTTCTGTAAGGTCATACCGTAACAAAGCTGCTCTCTCTAATTCTACCCATTTTCCAATGACCACAGTCAACCCTGGGAGTATGGGAGTGTGGTTTAATAATATCCGTAGAGCATTATGCTGCTTAAGATTATACTAGGTGAACTATTTAAGTTAATTTAAGAACAGGAATTAAATGCACAACTAAGAATGAAAAAAATAATATAGTTACTCTACTTCTTTATTCCAGCATCCTAGAAATTCCATCTGAAACCTGAAACCATATCAGTAACAGAGAGAACCTAATTTCAATGGCTTAAGTTTCTTCCTCTAGTCCAGTGGTTCTCAGCCTGTGATCCACAGACCCCTGGAGGGGGGGCAGTAAAGTCATCATAGGGGGTCCGCAAAGGCTTGGAGAAATGTTATGTTTTAAATCTTGAGTTAAGTCTTGGTGGTCCATGGACACAAAAGATATTTAAGAAAAGGTATTGAAGAAAAGGTTGAGAACCACTGACTTTGGTTATGCAGATTTTGTGAGTTCAGTGTGGTCAAATCAAATCTCCCCCTCCACACCCTGAGTCCAATCTCTTCCAGCATTTTGCAATACACCAAAATTTTAAAAATCAGATAATGAAATCTTACAGTTGATCTATCACATTTTGAACTAATTCAGTATGGCCAGAGGTAAAAATTATCAATTTTCTCTAAAGTATTAATTTTTTCATACATCTAAAGTATGAAGTTGTTGCAGCATAAAGGTTCTCAAGAGTATCTAAATATAATTTTTATTTGTAACTTTCAAACTGGCACTTAGCAACAAAGAACATCCCTTTACAGATATTTTCACCTGTCATTATGAATCTAGATATGTTTATCCCTAACTCCTACAGTTTTAGAAGATATAATGCACGGGTGTCAAACTTGATCGCCTCACGTGACGTATCGTGATGTATCATGACATTTTTTGCCTTTGCGGAGCCAGGGTGGGCGTGGCCTGCACATGACGCATCCAGCCAGCGGGCCATCAGTTTGACTATCCTGATATACTGGGAAGGTCTTTAATAAGATTTGCTTCTTTCCAACCATGCAAGAGCCTTTACCTATTCTTATGTGTGCACAAGGATATTAAGCATGGCAGGCCATGCAGCCTCAGAGACAGAAATGGAAGTGTAATCAGTCTCTTTCGTTTATATGCAACATCTTTGCATGTTGGAAAGAATCTGCATAGGGTCACTATAGCTAAACCTAGAACTGGCACACAATCAATCAGACTAGTGGTGGATTCAGCCGGTTCGTACCACTTTGGCAGAACCGGTAGCTAATTTTTCGTTGCCCAGGCCCAGAATGACTTCCAGAAGCGGCATCCACAGAGAACTACCACATTTCTACCAATGACTACATGGAAACTGACACCAGCCACCTCCAAGAAGAAGCACTAGTAATTATCATTTGGAAAATGGCATTGCTTAGTCTGTAGTGTGTTTTGACTAGGATTTGAGAGAATATGAGAAGCTGCTTTATAGTATCAGGTTGTCTACTACAGGAGCTGTGCTCCTAATACCCTAAAAATGTGGTCCACCTCCTAAATCATTAAAAAATGATGACAACTGGAATTTTATATGTGATTGAAATAAAAATTGTTAATTCATTTGTAATAGTATGCAAAATTACTATATCCAACAGAGCTGTGCAAAGTATTTGAAAAAAAAATACTTTACAAATTTCAAGTATGAACAAAGCTCTTCTCTTTAAACTGTTCATATGCCATATCTTTTGCAAAGCTTGTGAATGCTCTAAAAGCTGTTCCCAGCTCTATCTGCATGCAAGACATGAACCAGCAGCATTTTAGCTTAGCCACAAAGATTATATTATGTCAGAGGTCTAATTGCAACTAAGAAGGAAATATAATGTCCAACAGGGCTTGAGCTTCAGATCACAAGGCTATCTACAAAGACTGTAAGCCACAATCTAAGGTTTCAGACAGAAGGTTTTCTGAACCCTGCCAGTAAATCTAGGAAGATATCATGAAGTTGAGCAGATAAGGTTAACTATTTCATTAAATATTTAGCATTATTAGATTGCATGGCTATAATACTTCCTTCAACATTCCTCCACAGCTGCTGGAATTATGTGTATCAATCACAAAATGTACTAATAGAAACCACAATTGCCAAATATTCATCTGCAATGGGCAGTGTCAACAGGCAAATAAGATATTCAGAGAGCTGCAAAAGTACAAAATATTTTTTTAAATAATACCTTAAAGCAATGATCCCTCCAAAATACTTCAATAAAAAAGTAGGGAGAATGGAGATCCAGAATGGAATAACAAAACTCGGCAGCCAAGCTGATTTTTTGAACAGGGGAATCACCAATCAATACAAATGTGGGGCTACTTTCAGCCTGCAGATGCAATCAACTTTCATTTTTTTAATGTCCTTGGTGTAACAATTTAAATCTCTATTTGTATTTGGGACTTTAATTCTTCTTGCTTTGATGCATGATAAATCCTCCTTTTATGCTTTAAACTATTTGCCGCTTTTGTTTTACTTGATACAGGCTTCATTTACATTTTATGGTATCACACCCTGACAACTCTTTGCTATCTCCTATGTAACTCACATTATATAACTACAGTTAATATTTTACTAAGAAGTACTAGCAGAACTAAAAAACTGAGTTGCCAAAAATTACTGTTGTACTTTAAGTGAGTGTTCAGTACTTGGGATGGGAGATCATTGGGGGGGGGGATAATACCATAGCTGCAGGCTAGCATGGAAAAATGTAGAAGCTAATCACTTCCAGAATATTCTCAAGCAATATTTGTTGAAAGAGATTTTGCCTTTTCCAATATCTATTCACTGAAAATATAAGCCTGCCAGACTTTCAGAAAAGACACTAACTCAGCAATACCTACGAGGGGGGAATGGTTAGTGAAGGCGTTGGAACTTGCTGAGATGGCCAAATTGACTTCTTTGAGAGAGAAAAAAAGAATATTTACATTTATTGCTAACTGAAATCCCCTTTTGGCATAAAACAGAAACAAAACGAAGTTATGATGTATGGTTTTGATGATTAGACAAGATTATACAAAAAGTCATGTTGTAACTTTAGGGAAAGAGGTAAATTTATAATTGTACTTATAATTGCTGCAAAGAAGATCAGAAGCCACTTCTTTGTATCTTTTCTTCTTTCTTTGTATTTTTCTTTTACTTTTTCCTTCTTTAACTTTTTCTTTGGTTGCTTTCTCCTTCCTTACTTTTTATTACTTTGTATCTTCTTTCTTAAAACTTTTAATGGAAGCGACGCTGAGGTTCGAGCTTAGCTCTTTCGGCAAAGACGTGTACACACTGTACACATTCCCAAGTACTACCATCCTTTCCAGGATCAGGGACACCTCCGTACCGGTCAGGCCCTAGCCCACGCCATTAACACAGCCCGCATGTTAAGTTGGGCTCCCTTCCCCCTCCACTTACTTCCAGCGGGAGAAGGTGCTTGGGCCACCGCAATTCAGTCACCGGGAAAGTCATAACGTTCAGCTATAACTGCTCAACCTTTATTTCTCCCGCCCCGCCGGGCTCGAAATTGCCCGCGCGGTAGTCTTTCAGCGTCCTGGAGGAACGCGCGGCAGGGGAATATTTCCGGGACTATCGCTGAGGCTGTTGGGTATTGTAGTTTTTCCTTTTCCTTTCCTGATCATAAAATGCGATATGAGAATTCTGTATGCTTAACCCACATTAACTATGCTGAATATAATTGATGGCGGGCGACGTTTGAGAAGAGATATAACGATACATCAGTTGTTCTGGCTTCTACAACTAATTTGGTCTTTCAATGCTTACTCATTCTATATATTGTAGTGAATTAGCTGAGTATAACTGCTGGAAGAGCTAAAAAAGCCATGGAAGTTACTCATCTTGTTTCTTTGCCATCATATGGAAACTGGGAATTTTGATTTGGTCTTAATTAAGAATCCAAAGTCAGAACAAACTTTAGCATCCAACTCTATCCTTTTGGAACAGGGGTGTCAAACTGCCAGCCCATGGGCTGGTTTCATCATAACGAAGTCGTGCCCACCTCATTGCCAGCAATGGAAAAAGAGTTGCGATATGTCGCGACCTGTCATGTGACGTGGTAAGTTTGACACCCGTGTTTTAGAAAGAAAACAAGCTATGATTTCTGGTTTGTACCGGAACAAAATCACAACAGGTGTTTCTATTTGCTTTGCCATTTTTAGTGGTGTGGGAAGAATCTGGAGAAAGAAATATTTTGGGGAATATTAAAAGGCAGATATATTTCCCCAAAGGAATAATGGAGAAGATCTTTAAAAAGGCAGAAACTTCTCCACCACCACCCCAAGCCAGACAACTCAGTAGAAACCAGCTTTTAGAAATGCAGATGTAATAATCCATTCAGAAGGTTGGAGCCTGGAAGCTAGAAATTAGGAAGACAAAGACACCGAAAATCTAGTAACCTCTACCCAAATTCTAAGGACAGGAGACATAATAGGATTAACCCACCAATGCACACTCAGAGACTCAGGTCAAATTACGTGACACAGCAAATACAAAGCCTCAAACAGGAACAGGAAACAACCTCAAGAGCCCCGGAAGGTATAAAAGCCCACCACTTTTGGGGGGAGGTCAGTTTTTTTTTCCAGAGCCATCTTTCTGCCTGACTGTTCTCTTCAATAAACTACAACCTTCTTTCTAAAGCAGTCTCCATGTTGTTTATTCCTGGCTTGGACTGGACCCTGATGAAGATTTTTCTCTCAACAGTGGCAAGTGGGGCTAAGAAGAACAATGTTATTTTGTTTCTTGCTAGTAAATCTGCATTCTTTAGGTTCAGTTTTACCATAATGTGCAACAGTATTAATATGGAAATGAAAGAACTACAGGACCATAATAAATGTCTTTAATTCAGCAGTTCTCAACCTGTGAGTCGGAACCCCATTTGGGGTCGAACGACCATTTCACGGGGGTTGCCAAACAACGCAGTCCGCCATTTTTTCCCCTTTTCCTTAGCTGTGCTACTTCCTTTTATTCTATTGGCTTTTGAAAGCCAATAGAATAGACTCTCTTGAATAGAGTCTAATTCTATTGGCTTTCAAAAGCCAATAAGAATTGTCCAGGCTGTCTCTGCCCTGCTGAGCCCACCAAAAGCCCCAGTCTGCAAACGGTGCTGCAAGTTGTCTGTAGTGAAGGCGAGCTATCTGGAAGTTTTCACCCCTCCCTGCTGAGCAACTACTAAAAATGTAAGTAAAAGAGGGCCAGGAGTGGGAGGCCGGCGGGCGCAGGGAGGGTTGCTGGCATGCGTGGGGCCCAGCGGGTGCCTTACCTCCCTCGGGCTGGGCCAGCTGGTGGCCCAGCCGGTAGTCAGCCTGCGCCGTCTCTGCTGCTTGCCAGCTACGCCTCGGCCGGCGCAGGGGGCAGCATCACGCATGCGCGGTGCTCCCAGGCAGGGAAAGTCCTCAACTTACGACCAGTTGGATAGTCCTTGACTTACGACCAGTTGGGTAGTCCTTTACTTACGACTGGTTGGGGGTCGCAGCATTAAAAAGGTTGAGAACCACTGCTTTAATTGAATATCTATCCCTCTACCCAGTTCTAATTGCTTCTAAAATTGTTATATCCTCAGAATTATTATTTTACTTATTGCATGTTCAGTTTTTCAAAGCTGCATCCTCATAAAGCACAACCAATGACACAATCAAATGCAAGCAGATATGAACATACAAAAAACAGCATTTTCAGAAGTGAGCTAATGAAGCCAAGTTTGAGAATCTTTTTTTTAATAGAAAAACCAGAATTGACAGAATTCAGCTGTAGGTTTGATCAGTGCAACAGTAGAGTGGTACTACACAATTGTAAGGTTGTCCACATTAAATATGTACACACCAAACTGTTCCTTTTTCCTCCTAAATTGCAGGGGTTCTGCAAAGTTTGAAAGAAATTTGCTTTCCAAAATTATAATCCCATCATGTCAGCAATAAAAATACAATATGCTTTGATCAAAATAACTCTGAATAATTAATAGAAATAATTTTCCTCAACCATTGCATCCTGTGCACATTTTCCTCTACTGATTATGCCATTAGAGACATAACAAACCCTTTCCCATTAAGCACTTAGTATATTTTGCCTTTATTACATACCTGCTTGAGAGCATATATTTATAGTATCTTGTTCACTGAGTGAATATTTTCTTATACTAAGATAATCCAGAGGCAGTAAATCACGCCATTTAGTACATTATCTTTTTAGCCATAAATAGCAGGGGGAAAAATGAGTGTATTCTTATTGGACATTTAGAAACTATAAACATTTTTCAATTTTATTTTATAATAATAATAATTAATAATAAAAATAATAGTACAAATACAAACAACATTAAAAAAATGAACGTAGCATGGAAATTATGTTATAAATGAGAGCATTTACAAATTGTCCTCTATGCCTGCAAATATCATGCTTTCATTAAACATTTAAATTATAAGCATAATGAGAGCCAGTTTGATGTAAATGATTAATGTGGTGGCATAGAAACCAGAAGACTATGAGTTCAAGTCCTGCCTTAGCCTTGAAAGCCAGCTGGATGACTTGAACCGATCATTCACTCTCAGCCCAGCTCATCTCACAGGATTGTTATTGTGGGAAAGGAGGAAGAAAGCAGGAAGAAATATTAGGTATTGTGGGAAGTCAGCCCCCCCCCGCCCCCCGAGAAGGAAATATTAAAAGGGCAGAATATATTTCCTCAAAGGATCTTAAAAAGGCAGAAAAGCATGCCCAGTTTTTCTTAATAGCCCCAAATCTCCCTCCTCCAAGCAGAAACTAGCTCTATAGAAATGCAGATATCATAATCCTTTCAGAAAGACTGGCACCAGGAAGCTTAGAGTTGATGGGATTAAAAAGACAAAGATCCCTAGAATCAACAATCCCTCACACCAAAAAATCCAACACAGGACATAGTCATCAGCCACACCCCCAGGGAAGCAGGGTATGACCTTTGGGACATAATAGGATTAACCCACCACCATCAGCTTACCAGGAAGGCACTCAGATCAAAGTTCATGCCACAGGAACATTCCAAACAAAAGCTCAAGAAGGTATAAAAGCCCACCCACCCCCTACTACATGTGGTCAGTCTTCCCAGAGCCATGCTTCTGTCTGGCTCTGCCCTTCAATAAACTCCAACCTTCTTTCTAAAGCAGTCTCCATTTTGTTTATTCCGGCTTGGACTGAACACTGATGAAGATTTTTCTTTCCACAGTATGTTTGCCACTTTAAGTAACTTATAAAAGATAATAAAAGTGGGATTTTAAAAATTGAATAATAATGTAGGAATAATGTCATTCCATTTTTTTCAAGCATTAGTTGGGGATATTTTAGATTGCTCAGATAAAAAGAGGAAGTAGAATGAGCCACGTTCCACACTAACACAAGTTGAACTGGACCAGAGACGCTGGCCAGGGTGTGTTTATATGGGGTTTTAGGGATGGCATGGCTGCTGTTCTTACTGGCATGAGCCAGCCACTGGAATGAGTAAAAGGGGGGTTCATGTACCCATAAATAGGTTATGTTATACCTTAATTTAAAATAGCATCTAGATCTGTATTCTGTATAAAGTGTATTTTCACAACATTAATAATTGAATCAATTCAATTCTGAGTAGCTATTTATAAAGCTTTTTCAGAATTTTTTTTAAAGTTTGACTTATCTCAGAACGTGTCTTGACAGTTTATTCAAATTAAACATTTTAAATTTGCTTTAGACTTCCAGACATGGTAGCTGCTTTTGAATTTCAATGGTGTTTAGACATTTTTGAATAATTAATGGTGGCTCCTATGCCAGTAACTCTTTCTTATAGGAAGTTGAAGGAAGCTGATGAAATTGATATTAATTACTTACAGTATTGTAGAATTACAAGTTTCAAAGTCGTGTTTGATAAACCAATAGAATTGCACTAAATAATGTGAAATTGATTTTCTGTGATCTCAAAATGAGATCAATACAACAAAAATGTTGTTTCATGTATACCGGATATCTCAGATAATGCTCAAGTAAGGGTTGATTAAGGACATCCTGTTACTGGAAATGTAATTCGTGTTATTTGGGCCCAGTATTGTTGTGTTTTGGACTGACATCAATAGGATTGTTAGACAATGAAACAATTACTATATGTCAAATATGCCTATGTTTTTCCTGTCTGAACCCCTGAATTTGGAATTGAGATATCAGAATTTGTGGGGTTTTCAGGAATAGGATGTGGCTAGGAAAGAATTATTAAACAGCACTAGAAGTAGAAAACTATGCCTCATCTGCAGCAATGAATTGTTGATAAATTGTTGATATCTGCAACATTTGAATTAGTCCTTTATTTGATAGTTTCAAGTAAGAAAACTCGCACTATACTATACTGGCTGACTTATATATTGGCCCATAAGATAAAACTATCCCATCATCCACAAATCCACTGGTTTATGCATAAACAGACAATCCCAAGGAAATCCTTCAGATACATTGGGAATGATTTGCAAGTCCCAAAGCTCCATATCAGATTTGGGGTAGCATCCTTCCATATTACGTCTTGCATGTAATGTGTTTCCCATGTGACTAGGAACTATGA